GAAAATAGTATCGTTCGACGCAGAATTTAATTCTATATCCAACTCAACCGCTTTTAGATTCAACTCAAATAGTATAGCGAATCCGAACGCCAAATACTTTGCAAAAAAATCTGGAAAATTCAGTATTTCGAGATGAAGTGCCATTTTTTTATGGGTAACCTGGTCTGAAAATATCACCATTCGATTCAGAATCGAATTCTGCACCTAACTCAATCTAAACGAAAGTTAACTCAGGTACAGAGGCGAATCCGGGCAGTAGAAACTCGAATCTGTGCTAACTTTACTTACGTTTTGACTATAACATCGTCATTTCTGAATGAAATTCGAAAATTGTTTTTATCAAAATGATCAGCGAAAAAAAACCGCCAAAGTCTGATAGGAAAGAAAATTTTCCGAATGCTTTGTGATTTTTTTCGTTGTCTATCGATGGAAATTCAATACGAAAATTTGTAATTGAATCTTGTCGATGAATTTCACTATTTGGTTTAGCTAGAGAGCTGAAACTTTCAGAAATGAGAGATGTTCATCAGATATATATATGATAAAAATTTCAGCCCTCTACTTCAAGAAAAAGTATGAAAAATATCATTAACAATTTATCCTCAGTTATTATGAGACACTCTTTATGAGTACCTACTCTTATGCACAATAAAAGGGTTAAATTGTCATGAAGAAATTAATATGAATAAATACATATGTATTGGTGTGATAGCACTAGTGTTTTGTCTCATATTAACCCAAGAAATGAAGTTTTTCACATGTAATGTATTTAAAACTCCCTTGTCTACAATGAGTTTTGGGTAACTTTAGTATTAATTAAATTTTAATTGCTAATTCTTATACGATAAGTACCATGTTCTAATTTTTATTTATATCAAAAAACTTATTCAAAATATCTTATTCAAAACTATTATATTTGCAAAGATGTACTATAGTTCCACGAATTAAAAGTCTGAATTAAAGCTAGGTTCACATAATGTTTTATTGTAATACTATGAGAAGGAATTGTAATGTGCTGTTACATGCGAACACACCACATAAGTTCGAATATCACAGTGAAAAATATTGATGGAAAAAACGAAAGTGAATGCGTTCATCATAACATGAAAAGCTATCTCAATCGTGAAGAACGCATTCTATAGTTTGGCGAATGCGTTCATTACTAATCTGAGTCAAAGACCGAAACGAATAAGAATTTCTTCATTCGGATTCGATTCGATTCGATTCAACCAGAACTACATTCCACTTGATTCAGACTATAATTAAGAAAAAAGATACTTTTCTTTGCGTACATTGTCTGTTATACCTTAACGCATCTTTTTTCATCAAACCACTTATCTGTCTTTTTTTATTAGTGCTGCATTGAAGTCCAATTATCCAGGGGATTATATGAAACTAGACTCTTAGTCTCGGTTTCAAAACAAATTTAACAGGCATAGGTACCTAGTAGTTAGTTCTGCGCAATCGAGGATGCTGATAAAAAGGCAGATAAATGATCTAAGTAACACTTATGAGGACGTTTATGATTGTTCCACTGCATCCAGTTTCGAATGTAACTATTAGGTCTACCGAGAGGTAGAGTGTCAATAAATGGAGTTTCTTCGAGGTGAATTTGTAGATACGTTGGCATCGTCTTTGCGAGAATATAAAATTCGAAAAGTTCAGGTGATATTATTCGCGCTTTATCAATGAATAGACGTAAGAAACGTTGAGCACGTGTTGCAGAGGTTTGAAAAGCAGGCAACCATTGTATTTCTTCGTTGCGAGCATTCCACCAAGTGCGTGTAAGTCTATAGATTTGACGATTTTTGGCTTCAATTCTGTGAATAGTTCCAAAGGATAGTAAGGGCCAGGTAGCATATATATAAGTTGAAAATATGGTAAAATAAATGCATTAAAAATTATTTGACGTGTCCGTAATGAGGATACATGAGATCGAGTGATGTATTTGAGTACAGTTGAATTAATCTGAACTTTGTCAAGCATATTGGTGCAATGTGTATTGAAGAATAAGTGTTTATCAACAAAGTAATCAAGATATTTAAAGAGATAAGGACGCCTGATAAGTTGTTGATTAATAGTGAGAATAAGAGAGGGTAATACCACGCGTCTATAGACCCATTGCCATTCTGTTTTTTCAGTATCAATTGGTTGTTTCCACGTATTGGCATAGGTCTGGAGCTCGTCCAAAGTTCCTTGAAGTAAATGTTGCATATTTTTCGCAAACTCACCTCGAGTTCACCATGGAGAGGCTGCTATCATAAGAGCTAGATCGTCGGCATACATATGTTGATGATTAGTTAATGGGATTTCTTGAACTAGTGTACAGTGAAAGAAAAGGCAAAGAATTTAACCGAGACATGAATCTTGTGAAACTCCCTTTTCAATGCTGCAGATGTTGGAAGTGAGATTGTTTAGTTCAATGTAACATTTGCGATTCTTCAAATATTCTATGATAAGGGCGATTATTTCTCGAGAACAATTCATTTTGTACAATTTATAGAGTAATCCATCGTGCCAAATTTGATCAAAGGCTTTCGTGAAATAAGCATAAATTACAAGAGCTGCTGTATGTTGTCCTAGACGTGTGGTAATATCCTGTAGAAATTTTATAAATTTTGTGGTAGTAGAATGATGTTGTCTAAATTCGAATTATTCCGATGGAAGAGTTCTGGTATTGTATACATAGACAAGAAAACATCGTCCGTATCGCTTACTTAAACATGGTAAGAGGGAGATAGGTTGTGTCCTTTTTATGTTTAGAATAGTTGATTTATCTTTCGGTAATAGAATCATCTTTGATAATTTCCAATGTTGAGGATATACATTATGAATAGGCAGCTGATTAAAAATTTGAAGAATAAAATCATAATGAGATATCGGAATTGACTTTAACAATTTTTAAGTCTTTTTCATGTTCACTTGATGTCTTCGTTTTAAGATGACGAATTGATTTAATTAAGTCGCCAATATGAAATAAGAATGGCTTACATGGAGGTTCGTGAAGTTTTTGTGATAATGATGCTTTAAATTCATTAATACTTTGATTTGGGTGAGATATTTCAATTTCGTTGAATAGTGTAGAATGGTAGTCGAAAGCATGTTGTATCATAGCATTAGTTTCAGTCAATATAAAATCGCCTACATCATTGACAAAGCCTTGAATTCTATGGATGCGTTTGTGAAAGAGAGTGCGAATTTATCTCCAAAATCGTTGAGTATTTCGTCGTTCGAAATTGAAACAAAATCTTTGCCATTGGGCTTTCTTAACTGCTCTTAATTCATATTGAATGTATCGATTTAGAGAAGTAAGCGAAAAACGATGTTCATTTGCTTCAGTCAATCGATAAAGATACAGCATTTTACATCGGTATTTAATTATTTTAACGAGATAATGTGGTAGACTTGGTCGATAATTTTTTATCAGATGATAATCAGTGCATCATTCTTGTAAGGCAACAAGAAATTTTTCATATAGAAGAATAAACTCAGTTGGTTTATTTTTCATATGTTGAGCTAAATTAAAGAAAAATATTTGTTTTAAATCTAAAATGCAACTTATCAGTTTTCCAGTCGATATGTTTCAGCTCATATGAATTCATATTATTGAAGAAAAATGATGTGATTTGCCAATGAACAGAATAATGATCTGTAACTTGCATAGTTTGGTCGACTTCAGAAATTTCTGATGTGGTACTATGATGAAATCAATAATGGCTTGAAATCGAGTTGATTTAGGTTGTGACTCATTAGTTATTTTCAAGTTTGGGAGTGAATTAATTCATTCACTCAGTCGAGAGCCGTTCATGTTCATTGTCACGCCATACCATTGAGGATGTCGATCGTTCAGATCACCTACTAGAATTAAATTAGGATTACGTTCGTACAAATGATTAAGAGTGTAAGTAGGTAAATTGCCAGAAGGTGGTATAAAAAGAACCACAAGAGTATATCATTGGCTGTTGTTGAAGATGTCAATAGCAATCAAGTTCTCGATTTGACTGAAGTGGAAGATGCATTGATGAGGTATCTGATGAGCAATGGCAAGACAAATGCCGTCGAAGTTATTTGATCCATGTTGAAAATAAATAGTATATTGAGATTTGAAGAAATTAGCTAATCGATAATTGACGTTGTTGTTAAAATGAAGACCAGTTAAGGCTCATACAGTTGGAGAGTATAAACAAATATATTGAATGAGATCTTCTAAGTGAACAGATAAACTACTAATGTTATAAAGCATCAATAAGAAGGAAGATGAGTGAGATGATTTGGATGTATGATGAGTGGACCAATCTTGAACCAGTGGTAATAATGAAAGTGATGTTTCCTATTCGTAGAGTATTGGCTAAGCTTTTAGGACTTGGTAATCTGTGCTTAAATAAAAAGGAAAAAAAATTCGGCATAATTTAGAGATTCTCTCATTTGGAAATTTTTGCGAAGGTTCAAGTTCTGTTGCATGTGAATCCATCATTGAAACAAGCATTTCATAAAAATAAATTTTTACTGAGATTCGATTCGAGTGAGAGCTGTGATAAAGAGGCTGAATGTGGTTGATTAGATGTACGTGTAGCCAATGAACATAAATTTGATTGAATCTGAGTGCAAACGAAAAGTGAAGAAGAAGCAGATGTATTCGAAGTCACATGTAGAATTGAGGATGATGTTTTATGAGTTGTTGAAAGATCACGTAGCAAAGAGAGTTTTACTGTTTGTTGGTCAGTTGCTTGAATAATTTTCTTTTCAGTTAATTTATCATTGTTAGCTCGTCGTGCGCGAGCTTACGTTTATTTATTATATCCCCCACCATAACAAGTTCACACTATATATAATATAAAAAAGAGAGGAGAGAAGAAATAAAAGAAAGAAAGACAAAGAGAAGAAAGAGAAGAGAGAAGAGAAACCACCGGTCCAGGGTTTGACCGCTAACAGTCCTTCTCTCCCCCGTTAAGTGTGTGTCCTCACACAAATACTGTTTTTTAAGTTAGTGTCTTTTTATTTTATTTTGCATCACCATTGTGGTTTAACTTCAATGTTGATGAAGAATTAGATAATAAAGTATCAATTGTATTATCATAATCAATATATTCACTTAAAACTCCACTAAGTATTTGTTGAATAGTTGACCAAACAATTTCAATAGAAAATAAATAAGGAATTTCAAATTGAATTTCACTTAGAATGGATGTATGATCTTGTGATTTAACATCATGTTGTTTTAGACTTGTAAAATATTCCTATTGTTGAATTGTAAAGGTGCTTGATGTTCCTGTAATAATTTTAACATACTTATTAAATACTCTGTATTTTTAGCAACAATTTTAATTTGTTCATAAGATGTTTCAAACAAATCTCTTAAACAATCCGTATCATTAAAAACTAAATTTTTATTTGATCTATTTGATAATGCTAAATTATTATCAATAATATGTTGGGTTGTACGTAACACAATACGATATAATTGTTCATAATATTGTTTTTGTACAAAATCAAGTATTTCATTTAAATTCGATAAAACTGATAATGATTGTAATAAAACATCTAAATATGTATTTGATAACGTATATTAACCAACATATATTGATCCAGTATAATTCCTATTGAATGGGATTCAAATGATAATTTTCCTTCTTTAAAATTATGATCAAGTTGTTTTCTTAATAAACGATTTTCTCTTAAATGTGATAATGAACTTTGATCATGTTTATTTAATGTTGATGAGAAATTTTTCCAAGTATATCTCGACATTGTTTATCAAATAATTGACAAATTAATTCAAAACGTAATTGGTCTTCTAATGTTAAACATTCTTCTTTAATTTGTAAATCAATATTTGATAATGCATTAAATAAACGTAATTCTGGATATTCTTGTTGTTGATCTGCTAATTTAAATTGTAGTTCCCAACCAATATAACAAAATTTATATCGTCTTTTAGTTATTTTAAATAATGTAGTCAGATCATATGTATCAATTGATTGTTCATTTATATTATTTAATGCTTGAAAACAACAACATTGATTTGTTAATAAACATTTACCAGGATTTTTGATTAATGGTTTAATAACATAAGCATGTTGTTCGAATAAAACTGTTTCATATAAATCTTTTAATTGTTTTAAATCAAATTTAAGCATTTTTAAACGTCCTTGAACAATCGATTCAATCATCATTACTTGTTCAGGATATTATGATGTTGTTGAATGATATAATGTCCAACAACAGATAAACAATCTTCAACATTGAAATAAACAAATTCAAAATAAAATCTATGTGTATCATAAATAATTGTATATGGTTCAATACGTCCATTAATTAACATTAATGTAATTGATGAAAAGATAAGAATTAAACTATTTGAATTTTTTATTTACATTGGTTGATGATGATACTATAGTTGAAGTTGACGTTGAACTCGATTGTGTTCGTCTTGATAATCTATTCGTATTTTGTTTGAGTAACAGACCATATCGATCACGGTGGAATGAAGTCGATGAAACAGTACGAATAGTATTGTGTTTGAACAGTATATGAATATACTATACATGTACATGATTTTCCTACTGTTTATGGTGTAGTTGTGGTGATTCATGGGGTATTGTTGATCCAGTTAATTTAGTTGTGATTGGTTATTTGTTTATTTTTTATTATTGTTTATTTTTTTTCTTTTAAATTGCCCCATCTTTTATAATATTGATCCTTTGAAAAACAATTTATTTTCATTTTTGTTTTTGCTTGTTGTTGTTCATATTCACTTTTAAAACCAATTATAACTTCACCTTTATGTCTGTTGATTGTTGTTTGATGACTTGTGTGGATATTGTCATCGGTTAACTGAGTCCGGATCTTTCGGTAATCGTATCTGTGATAAATCGGGCGTTTTATTTTGTGTTGAAATTCGGGATGGTGTTTCCGTTTCCATTTTAATTTCATATTTTTAATTCTTTGTTTTTCTGATTTTGATAAAGGTGGTGGTTGTTGTTGTTGTACAGGTTGATCTTCATTCATATTGAATTGGTTCATTTCTTCTTGTGTTGTTTGTGTTATTAATTCTGTTGTTTCATTATTAAGATGTTGTGTATTTGTTTGTGGTTTATTAAAATGTGGTTTTAATATTTGAATTAATTCGTCTTCGCTGATGTCAGATAATTCATCTTCCAATTTAATTTTAACGTCTGTTGTTGATCTTATAATTGGTGTCATATCACTAATTTCATTAATAATTTGATCTGGATACATATGGAAATATAAATCAGTTACTGCTGTACAATCAGTAACTGCATATTTTGTCATTTTAAAACGGTGTTCTTGTTCATGATGTTCATTGTAATGTTTACCACTAAACCAATTATTTTTCCACGTGTTTAATACCAGATCTAAACCACATTGCCATAAGCTGACTGTTAATGTTTTATCAACCAATTTTTTTAATGCTGAAACTATGGCATCTTGTAATGACCAGGTCGCTCCCATATTAAAGTGTGTATGATGACCACAATTATATTGATTATTATAATTTATTTTTTCACCATTATCATTATCCATACCACCATCATCAAAATCAAATTCACCAGGTGTATCATCTAACAATGATACGGACCCGGTTATATTCTCGCGCTTTTCCATAGAAGGATGCGCTTTGTTGCCATTATGCCAATCTCTAAATAAAGATTGTAGATTAAGTTTTTTATTTTTATTACCTAAATATATAAGTTCCAAATGTTGAAAATGTTCAAACTCCTTATTTAAAGGACCCCAAGATAAGATTTTATTATCATTGTTTAATACGATGGAACAGAATTCTCCAATTTGTTTAAATAAAATTGTGTTACGATCAGGAAGGTAATCCGTTTCGATCAATACAATTGTTGAATTAATATTCGAATGCACCATTTGAATTTGAATTAGTGCACCTTGATTCATATTTTTATCTTTATTATCTTCAGTGTCGATGGTGTATGTTTTTGTTGATTTAGCCTTTGTTATCAGTTCATTGACCACTTGGATATCCGTGAGATAATGTAAATGGATGATGTTGATGTTTGATGTTGTATTAAAAGGTGGATATTTTAATTTGAGATCTTCATTTTTCTTCATTTTCTTTGCTGTTCTCATCCAATTGTGTTGTTGTTTTGAATTTAATGTGTAGTAATAATCTGGTGGGTTATCCGGATCACGTTGTGTGTAAGACATGGTGATAGATAGCTACAATAGAAATGATATGTGTTATTGTTAAATGCACTTAAAAATGAAATTCGTTGTCTGGTCAAATTTTTCTTTCCTTCGCCCTAGATACAACGGCGGCGGAACGATTTCAATCTAGGGGAGGCTCACAATTTTTTTCAGAGGATGAGGATGATGAGAGGTAAAATGAAGAACAAAAAAAATCTGGTACTAATAGGTGGTCTGTTGATAATTTACTTCTGATTCTACTTTTCTCAAAACTTGTAAAATAATGAAAAATATTACTGTAATATTTATTTTTCAGAAAATGATCAATAAGAACACAAAAATCCTTAAACAAATTTCAGGAGAGTAGCAGGGCTGCTAAATCCAAATTTGCAAAACCAGGAGTTTTCCGCAAAAAAAAACAGGAGTTGACCAGGAGATTCTTACTTAAAATCAGGAGAAAATCCAGGAGATTTTTATCGAAATCAGGAAGGTTTTTGGTTGTCTTTTTTCGAAGAAAACTGGGATTTTCGTTTACTCAAGTGATTGCCCTAGACGAACTTCTTTTGTTCTGCGCAGGAGATAATTGAGAAACTTGATCAAGGAAGTCATCCGCTACGAACAATTCTTGAGGCAAGACTTTAGACTTTTCGGCGAGCTGAAGCTCTTGAACTTCTTGTTCTATCACTTGATATTCTTGCACATGCACTTGAATTCTTATGCAAGCGTTTCTGTTATTCAAGAATTTTTTATAGATTTTTTTGCAATTTTGCGTTCAAAATAACTCAACTTTTAATAAAAATTCATAGGTGTATTTTCATGCAATACTGAAGCGCTTCTCTTGAGAAAGAAAGTCATGCGCTATGGACAAATCTTAAGATCTGCGCAGGTCAAGAGCATGAAAAAAAAGTTCGTCTAGGGTGATATTTTATCCTGACAAGTTAATAATGGCCTAGGTTTTCTATGTGACATTAGATATATATATATTATATGAGAAAAAATAAAGATAATCTTGTGTTCTATATTACTATTTGTTTCACAATCATTCACAAAATACACAAACGACAGCAAGTAAATTCTACTTAGAAAGTGAACCAAAAATACCAGTACATAGAAAGCATAAATTATCATTCATACTGTCTGTGACAGTTTAACAATATGATTCTTCTCTGCTTTTTTTCTTTTTCTTATCTTATTTTGGTGATTCAAAATGTCGTTAAAAGTCAAGGCGAGCAGACAATTTAGAAACCAGAAGGAAATCACAAAAACCAGCTCCTGGTACCAGGAGATTTTTTAACCAGGAGAAAAGCCTAAAAACCAGGAGTCTCCTGGCTGAATCAGGAGGTTTGGCAGCCCTGGAGAGTAGAGCAAACAAAAACAAAGATAAAAAACACTAAATACAACCAAAAAAACATTTTCTACTCTGATTTCTTGAAATAAATGTAGAGCAGATACTATTTAAGTCTACTTCATCTAATCTTTCTTTATGAATATGAGGTATAATTACATGATTTAAACGCTAATGTGTCATACTTGATCGAAGATGTTTTTACTCGATTCATAGCACTGAATGAACGTTCAGCTGTCACTGTTGTTACACGAACGGTTAAATACAGACGTATTAGTGTTGTGCATTCGCAGAACATAGATTTACCAACAGATTATACATTGAGAAGATCACAAATAGTTTGAGTTTTAGCGATTTTCTTAATACCAAAATTATTTTCTAAATTAATAACTGAAAAATAATCGAGTATCATATAGACTAAGTATTAAAGAACAATCGATCGAAATTTTGCCGATCGTGTCTACATTAAAGATGAGACCTACAACTTTTTCTCAAATTAAATGAGCCTCCCTAAGCCTTCTTCTCCGTTTTTTAGGGGAGGCTTGAGCCTCCCCAAGCCTAATGGGTCCGCCGCCTATGCCTAGATATATGCCTGGAAATTATTCATTCGTAAAATTTTCTTTCCTGTACATATCTGATATGGCTCGATTAATGTTCGTATATAAAATTTGTCTTTTCCTTCGATGTGGTAGATGTACATATATGTTCTTGTATAGATAATAGTAGCGAATTTGTCGTTCAGTGCCATGCGCTTTCATCTTCGCGTCGAATAGTGTGGCCACAACTATTCAAGCGCGTCGATGATCGCGCGTTCTGATTGGATAATGAGTCATCGCGTATAATAAATTTATCCGATGAATAAAATGCATACGATAAAATCAATTAAAGTGAATTTTTGAGTTAGGCAACCCCTCCTTGTCAGTGAGAAGGTGAAGTTCTGTCTCCCCAACATGGACTGCTGAATCCAACTCAATCATTTTTAATTAATTTAATTAATAATTTTTCTGTTTGTTTTTTTTTTTTTACTGATATTCATACTTTATTAACTATACTATCATGTCCCACATCTTTCCCTTTTTTTGGAATGTGCTTATTGAATTAAATTCCATCGTTCCACCAATGGAACGATAACATCCATTGTCACTTGTCTTGTTAATGTTAATTTTTTTACATGTTGGACAATAAATGTTTTAATTCCTAATTGTTTAATAATTTTAAACGGACCTTCATATCGTATATCAAATTTATTTCTAACATTTCTTGTTTTTACTAAAACTAAATCGTTGACTTTTAATAATAAATCTTGTCTATGTAAATCATATCGAGCTTTATATTGTTGCTGATTTTTTATAATGTTGTTCCGAGCTTCATTTACTAATTTTTCAAGATATATTCTAATTTTTTGACTATGCTCTGGATCTTGTGTGAGCGAAATAATTTCTTTTTGTTGATCAAATGGAAGTGTAACTTGTCTTCCATGCATCATTTCGAATGGTGTTTGTTTCGTTGTTGCATGTATTGATGTATTATAATTAAATGTAACAAATTGTAATACTTCATCCCAGTCCGTACGTCGTTCATTACATAATGCGGCAATTTTTCCATCCATTGTAGCATTAAATCGTTCAATTTGTCCAAATAGTTTGTGGATGATATACTGTGGAATAAAGATGAGTGACTCCAATATTTTCAAATAATTTGTTCATAACTTGAGAAGTAAAATGAGTACCATTATCGGTTAATATACATGTTGGAGTGCCNACTTCGATTTTCTATGTTATTTTGCAATACTTCTATATCCTCTGGTATGTCTTGGTTTTATATCTGAGTTACGCAAGAAAACACAATGGAGAAGGATATTTTGTGTCCAGCAACCACAACAAAATCCTACAGTCACACCTAAATAAACTCACGAACAATAATATGTCAATGTATGGCATTTGCTTTAAATGTTGTCTCTTATTTAATCACTAACAAAGCATACCTTATGTCTTATTCAGTGTTGCTTTCATTCTCAAAAAAGATTGAATAAAATATACTGATTTCTGATTATGAAATAATCGAAGTAATTGAATTTATATAACATTGATTGAAATACCTTCAAAGTTGAGTATCAATTAAGTGATATAAAACATTCGAAATTCAGTATTCAGTTACGGCTCACAATTATCAAAATTATTCTTTTGTAAACAAAAATAGTGTGCTTTTGAAGAGCTATAAATCATGATTTCGAATCAACAAGCAACGTATGTCTATGTATATCACTTTTTTTCGCTATATAATCAAGGAGATCTTTGACTTGGTTGAATATTGTGAAAGTGAGAGACCGAATGCATCGAATAGATTGTAATAAAGTTTATTTGACATGCTGTGACACGAAAAAACTGTCAAATTGACTCATAAATAGAAGATTTAGGAAGCACGATGAAAAACTCTGAGAACAGCAAATAATGATCACTCCAGTTTGGAAGCAGAATTTAACTGAGATCGTAATTGAATATCAACACTATTTGTCGTTTCAAAATCAGCAGGAAGTAAATTCAAAACGTTGTTTTCATATGAGTTACCAAGAAATTTATAGCTGAGTTTCAATCAGAAAAATCATTAGCTTCACATAATCATTTGGATTTTTAATTGTCAAGTTGTGCAGACGAATAGGAGTCGCGATGGAAAACCACATCTTATGATACAGTAAGGAAGACTTTCGTTGAATCACGGTAATAAGCAACCTCTTATTGATTACAGGATTGGCAGTGCAGTTATAAGTAATTGTAGATTAAAAGATGTGTTGCTCTGCTACATATCCAGATTCGCTAATTGATATGACAACTGACTTAGTAAAACTTGACTGAAAAAGACAAATATCGCGGCTTTCTAATTCAGAAGTTGCGAAATTGATCTATCCAAGTTTAGGGATTACTAACTTCAGTGCAGATGTGTAAATTGAGATAGGCTTGGACTGAAATTAGAAGTTTTATTTATTCATTTTCCTAATATCTGCGTCTTCCTCTAAGTAGATGATACCTATATCAGCATTAATTATGCAAATTAAGAAAATACTACCTTCACCGATCGATAAGGAAAAAAAATATTTCTTTTATAAAATCCAAGTCCTAATATGTACTGTAGCCCCTCCTTAAAGCCTCCAAATTTCTTTAAATCGATAAATTTAGCATATAGACACACGAAACCTTAAGTTAATTTTTATGTGAGATGTAGATACATATTACTCATGACAGAGAAGGACTTGTTTTTTTTTTCGGTATGAACCGAACCGAATCTGGATTTTTTTATTTGCTTCGGTCTCTGAAAAGATCAACAACAATGATTTCTTGAGAAAGTCATATATGCATCTGTATGTTAGCACCAGGGATAATACACTATGACGCTGAACAAAGATTAATATGTTCCTTCTAGTCTAATAGCCTTGAAACATCTGTCCAGATAGCAGAAGATGTGAGTTCATGTCCCACGAAGGTCATCTTTTTCTTCGTTTTGTCGCAAAATATCAATGACACTGCTTATCCTGTAGCTCGATACATCTAGAAATCAGCACTTTAAGACAATAAAATTAGATTCTGATAATTGTTGTCAATCCATCAAGTGAACACTTCTACTCTATCTAACTTTGCTTTTTTTGGAATGTCCTATGAACTCTGTTGTACATGCTTAACATGTCTTATATTTTCTTAATAACGTTTTTCTAATCTAAACATTCTCATTATGTACTGATAAGTGCTATTCTTCTTTTCAACTGATGACATGAGCATGCTATATATATTTAAACAGTAGTATTGATGCGTGTTTAATTGTTTATTCAAGTCTGAGATAGTGTGTATTTTCTGCACGATTGCCATTTCTTTGAATTCTCTTGCGTTCATTATTTATGCAAATTTATATTGAATGCATATATGTTTCGGTAATTGTCTAACATATGAGGTTCATTATCTGACACTATAGTATGCTTTGATATGGTTTTCTTTTATTAACGAGAATTAATTGCACTATGATTATGACAAATTTCGTCTGAGTCTTTTTCTCATAAGCTCATATTATAAAAAGGAAGCAATATAATTTGAAGCGTGAAGAGAATACATTATAAAGTGCATGTCGTTGCCGAACTTAAATTTAAGATTCTTTTTTCATTATGACAGTAATTAACACGTTGGCATTTATTTTGATGAGTATAAAAGTGTCAAAATGGTTATTAATTTTTTCATTCATATTTTTCTCAGAGAATGACTACCAACAATAGTTTTGACAGTAATGATAATGATCAACTTACAATTGGTGAATCTGAGATATCCATACCTCGCCCAATTCGATTTTGGCTTTTATTACTATTCGATATTCCTTCAATCATTTGTTCTTTATTTTTACTTTTTTATCTTTTCATTAACAAAAATTTACGATGTCAACTAGTAAATCATGCTATGATTGTTTTGCTCATCATTGGATTAATAATACAATCCGTCAGTATACCTTTTCATCTGAGTTTCTTACATATTGGTATTGTACAACCATCAATACCTTTTATATGTATTTTATGGTGGTTTATAGACTTAGGTCTATATAATGGATTTACAATAATTATAGCATGGAGTTCAATTCATCGTTATTTATTTATATTTCATGATCGAATATTTTTCCAGAGAAAGAAACGTTTTCTTTTCCATTATTTACCTCTCATCATTTTGCTTCTATATATATTGATTTTTTATACAATCGTCATAATCTTTCCACCATGTATGCATACATTTGATTATACATTACCTGTTTGTAATGATTATCCATGTTATTTGGATAATCTTTTTCTTGGTATATGGGATTCTGTTGTGAATAGCATTTTACCAACATTTATCTTATGTATTCTTAGTGTCACTATTTTTATTCGGGTTCATTATCAAAAACGACTTGTGGGTCTTCAACGTAATCAATGGCGTAGAGAACGTAAAATGGTAATTCAATTAATTTCTAGTTCTCTTCTATATCTTATTCCAAATACTCCATTGAATCTTATAATTTTCGCCCATCTTTGTGGTCTACCAGATAACGTAGCGGTTGATGTGGAACTGTACTTCGATTTTCTATGTTATTTTGCAATACTTCTATATCCTCTGGTATGTCTTGGTTTTGTATCTGAGTTACACAAGAAAATACAATGGAGAAGGGTATTTTGGTTCCAGCAGCCACAACAAAATTCTACAGTCACACCTAAATAAACTCACGAACAATAATATGTCAATGTATGGCATTTGCTTTAAATGTTGTCTCTTATTTAATCACTAACAAAGCATACCTTATGTCTTATTCAGTGTTGTTTTCATTCATAAAAACAATTTAATAAAATATCTTGGTTTCTGTTTATGAAATAACCAGAATAATTGAATCTATGACATTGATTGAAATATCTTTAAAGATGGTTATTAATTTAGTGATATAAGACATTCAAAACTCACTATTCAGTTACGGCTTACAATTATCAAAATTATTCTTTTGTAAACAAAATAATGTGCTCTTGAATAGCTATTTTATCATTATTTCGAATAAACAAATAGCTTGTTTCTATGAACTTACGATACGTACAGCAGACAAATCACATTGTTTCGCTGTATAAAGAAGGAGATCTTTAACTGGATTGAATATTATGAAAGTGAGGAATCGAATGCATCAAATAGATTGTAATAAAGTTCATTTAATATATTTTGGCTGGAAAGAGAGAATTAATTGATTACAAGGAAAAAATAAGCCAAACTGGCACGAGAATGGAAGAGATACGAAGCAGGATGGAACATTGTGGGAGCAACAATTAATCATCATTCCAGTCTTCAAGCAGTTTAAAAAGAGATCATATTGATATATTACCACTATTTTGCAGTGTCAAAATCTTTAGAAGTCATATTCAATGCATTTTTTTTCTACATGAATCACAAAGAAAGGTACAGCTAATGTTGAATCAGGAAAATTATTATGCTGAAATTATTATTCCCGTTTAAACTTTGATGTTTCTTATGACAACTAGTAGACAAGATGCAAAGGAACTTGTTATTATACAGTAAGGAACACTTTCTTTAAACCACGGTATTTGGCAACCTGTTATATTATAATGGACTTGATTTCAATAATAAACATACCATTTCTAACTTATGTTTACTCAATTGTTATATTGATTAACAACGATATTTCCTACATGTTTGAGAAATTCTTATGACTACTACAAAGATGCCTCACAATAGCAATATAGTCATATCCATCAGGATTTATTTTCGAATATATCTAAACGTTTTATTTCGAAAAAATATTGTTTCCTTGTATGCAGCAACTACACATAGTTGCCCATGTAATCGAAAAAAGAAGAAAAAAAAACGGTAACCTAGATTAATCTCTCATACTTGAAATTAAATCCTACTCGCTGAAAAAAAAATATCAATTTTCGTCAGAATCATCGAAATTAAGATAAATGCATGGGAGAGTAATCCGACGTCACATCCGTCGTAAATGGAATCATCTTTTATTCGGCATCTCATGTTTTGGCAAAAGTTTTTGATGATTTCTCGTATCACCTGCTTGAGAAATATGCTGTTTCCAGAAAACGCACGAAATCATTTTTGCTTTTCTCTGTTTATCTTTTTTTGATCATATATCATAGAATTGTCGAAGAAGCTTCATTGTAATAAATTGCTCCTGTTTTTGTTTGAAAAAGTATGCCATGATGTAGAGCATGACCCAATCACATTTTTGTAACTCGAGTATTTTTACAATTATACAGGAGAGTATTTTTTGAACTAAAGTATGATTCTTTGAGAATTTTTCGTGGCATCGAACTTTTCTCATCGTTAAAAGTAAGAGTTTAAGGAATTGAACTCTTTGATTGCCTGCATATCAACATACACTTTTGAATAAAAACAAATTAAGTGTATAAAATGAAGGTCAACAGATAGTTTCGCTTGCCAGATAAATTAGTTCTGATCTTGTTCATTGAACATCTCTCTCAAACGTAACGATCTCGAATCGAAAATTTTACCATAGTTTTTTCACGATAGTTCCAACATATCCTGAAAGTTTCATGAGATTTGAATATAATTGGCTCAAGATTGATTTCTGAAGGGACTAAAGAAGTTTACTACCATTGAACAGAAAAGAAAAAGTAATCCAGGAAGAAAATATGAAAAATCTGTACTTTTACATCAAAAAATTTGTTTTATCTTCAGTCAAATGCTCTGTGAGAATTTCTATTATTTTACCATATTTGAATATGATATTTTGCTGTAGCAATATCTTCAATTAACCTCAAACATTGAATAGAATGCAATTCTAACGGTGTTTCATTGGCACTTTTATATACTTCAGTTTAATATACTAGAGGGTGTGGGTGTGGTTCGTCTCTACATCTACACCTACCCACACCCACACCCACACCCTGAAATGATCATTGACCAACTATGATCGATAGCATCTTCTCCGCCTACAAAGCTTGAAGGCGTTAAAAACACATCATTGTATCCACAACCACATGGAGCAGATCTATTACATGCAAACAAAACTGAAGATTTAGTAGTACTACTAGTAGAAGGAGTAGTAGTGGTTTTAGCAGAAGTTGATATTGTAATGTTCATTTGATTTACAATTTCTTCGATCCAATCGTAAAAAGCAGCAAGCCTCGTGAAAACACTTTGATAGCCTACAGATGCACATCCATTCATCACATACGAGGAGATGCCTACTTGTTCCCAACGATCACCTAACCAGTGGAAAACTGGACCACCAGAATCACCTATTGTATGAAAAATGTTTAAAAAAATTAGTAAATCTATTCATTCCATATTGAACACACAATTACATACCATAACATATTCCTAGATAAAAACAGCAGAAAAAAAGAGTTAATATAGCTATTTAAATAATTATAAAGAAATTCTCATCTTTACCACCTTCATACAATCCTCCACAAAATTGTACATTAACATGTCCGATAGATCTTGCACATGTTGAATCATTATGATGAATTGCATAGATACTCAACTGTTGTAGTACTTCAGGTTTTATGTTAGCAGGCTTATTTGCAGCACCCCAACCGATTGTAAACAACATGGATCCATTTGAGGGATATTTCATAATGTCTTCTGGTGAATTGATTCGAGGTGGTCGACAGGTTCATTTAACAAATGGATGTGTGTCAATATTAAGTGGTTCATTTAAATGAAGGATAGCAATATCATTTTTAAACAAATGTGGTTGTCCTGCATATTCAGGATGGATGAAAATTTGATCCACGCGTCGAATTATTGGATGACTTGTTGTTAAATTATGAATTCCAACAGCAATAGTTATACTTTGTGACAATATTGACGATGGATTGAAGTCATCAACACAATGTGCAGCCGTAAGAATATAATATTCGTTTAAAATAGTACCACCACAGCAATGAGCATTAAAATTTCCATCATAATAACAGTTGTATCGAATCGATACTATCATTGACCAACTGTATGGAAATGCTGTGTCGCCACCGATTATTCTTGACAGATTGAAAACCACGCTTATCGCACCACATCCACATGATACATTCCTATTACATGTGTAAATGGTTGGTGGATGGTAGGCAACTGTTGTAGTAGTTGTTGTATAATTGCCTGGATTCATGATCCATTCGATCCAATCGTGAAAAGAAGTAAGTCTGATATAAACGCTTGGATGACCAACTGCTGCGCAATCCCTCACTACATAAGAGGCTATTCCAACTTGTTCCCAATGGTCACCTAGCCATTGCAAGACAGGTCCACCCGAATCACCTAAGAAGGAAATCAACAAGAAAAATACTAAATTATTGATCTAATTAAATATATCATACCATTGCATGGACCTAAGAAAAAGTGAATGAAGAGATACAATGTTTTGCTTTGATCGAGAAAATAGAATAAAATTGTTTACCTTTACTGCCTTCATACACTCCGGCACAAAATTGTACATCGACATCACTTATATATTGTGCACATGTAGGATGTATGTGATGAACTGCATAAATATGCAATTGCTGTAAGACTTGAGGTTTCACATTGAATGGTCTATTTAGAAGGCCCCAACCGATAACAGCCAACATGGATCCGTTTAAACGATACTCCCTAGCATCTTGTTGAGTGCTCATTCGAGGTGGACGACAAGTTCGAGTAATACGTGGATTTGTATCAAGATCGAGAGGTTCACTCCGATGAAGTATAGCAATATCATTTTTAAACCAATGTACTGGTCCTGTATAATCAGAATGAATAAAAATTCGATCAACACGTCGAATCGTTTGATTAACTTCAGTTAGATTATGAATTCCAGCAGCAATAGTTATATTTTGTGATAATATTGACGATTGATTTATTTTATCAACACAATGAGCAGCCGTGAGGATATAATGCTCGTTTAGAATACTTCCACCACAGCAATGAGTTGTCAAATTATCATTCTTAAGACAATCATATCGAAGTGATACAATCATTGACCAACTATATGGAATTGCTTTTTCTCCATTGATAATTCTCGAAGGTGTCAATGCAACATTCGTAAAACCACATCCGCATGAAACATTATTTTTATTACATATATAAACATTTGATGGACGATTGATGGTTGCTGTGGTTGTTCTTGTAACGGGTGTTGTTGAAGCTTTATAGTTCATTCGATTTATAACTCTTTCGGTCCATTCGTTGAAGTAGCAATTCGTGTAAAAACAATTTGATAATTAACTGATACACAACTATTCGTACCATAGGAAACAATGCCAACTTGTTCCCAACGATCGCCAATCCAACGAAGGATTGGACCACCAGAATCGCCTGTTAAATGAAATATAGAGAAGAAAAGAAGCTGAAAATTTCGATATGCTTATCGATGCATGCACCTTAAATAAAAGCAAAAAAAGATCGATCGATAATATAAAACTTTCGAAAACAAAATCAAACAAATTACCTTTGTAATCTTCGTATACTCCTGCGCAGAATTGTGTTTCAATATGATTGATTGATTTGGCACATATTGAATGATCATGATGAATTGATAAAAGATTTGTCTGTTGTATTACATCACATGCTGTATAATTCGAATTTTCATGAAAGTCTAATCCAATCATAACTAAAGAAATATTCGATGGTGGATACTTCATGATATCATTTGTGGAATTCAATTGTGGTGGCAAACATGTTCGACCAATTGATAACTTCGTGGTAAAATCAAATGGCTCAGCTAAGTGAAGTAGAGCAATATCGTCTCTGAATCCATTCATAAGTCTTGCCCAATTAGGATGAATAAAAATTTTGTCAACCTTGCTAATTGTTTGAAATTGTTCAGATCGACTATAAATACCAGTAGCAATAGTGACATTACCTGCCAAGAGAATAGATGCATGTATCCGTTCAACACAATGAGCAGCTGTAAGTATATAAGAATCACTTAGAATAGTACCACTACAACAGTGAGTCGCAACATCCCCATTACCAAGACAATCATATCTAAATGATACAATCATTGGCCAACTGTATGGAACTGCATTCTCACCGCTAACAATATGGGCATTCATCTCAACTTTTTTAAAGCCACAACCACATGAGACTGATCGTTGGTTACATTCGTAGTAAGAAATAACATATGGTATCCAAATAGTAGCTATTAAAAGTAGTCTCATGAATTGATGATAGATGATAATCTTAGAAAAAGTGTCTATGATAGAAGAAAAAGCTGGACAAATTTATACAGGTCCACTATATTTTCTTAGAAAATATTTGTTCTTTTCACATATGTATTCAAATAAAATATTGATCAAAAGATTTAATCCACCTAGCACAATATCATTGGACTTTGTTGTATCGAAAAATTGAAGCTTGAAAGATTTGAAAATTAATCTTAGTCAAAAGCTATACTAAGTTATTATTTGTCATCATTTGAAGAATACTTATGTTTATTATGAATGGAACAACTTCAATACTTGAGTAACATGTTCTCACTAGATGTACCTCAGCTGTTATTCGATATTGTTGATAAAAGATTTACTTTTTTATATACCTACGAAGTATTGCGAACGGATAAAAATATTATCAGCATGAAATATGTCATATTTCAACTAATAACTTTGATGACGTCAGTTCTTGAAACAACAGAAAAAAATTTCTTGAGATGAGAGTTTAATAATTTGAAGTTGATTTTTTCCATCGAGAACACTTAACATAAATCAATAGAATAGATTTAAGTGCTTTTATAGCTCATATAGTATGATTATTTGAATTATGACAACGTCCCACTCAGTTTTTTGTTCAAATGCTTAAACATGTACCTAAAATGTCAAGTTTTTGTATAGCTATTGAATATCAATTGTTCGTTTAGAANCGATATTGACCTTATCGATGAAGACGTTAGCTCACTTCAAGGCCAAATAGAGCTAACTAAAACAGCTGCTGAACAAGCTGGACTAATCTTAAATATAGATAAAGCCAAAACCATGGTATTGGGAGACAGGAATATCGATAATAGCATACAAGTAGCAGAAAATACTATAGAAAGCGTGGAAAAATTTGAATATCTAGGCAGTCTGCTGACATGGGATAATAACTGTTCAGAGGAAATAAAAAGGAGAATAGGAAAAGCGACAGGTGCAATGGCCTCTTTGAGACTCATATGGAATAGCAAGAAACTGAAGCTACAAAATAAACTTAGAATCTTAATCACATGTGTGTTCAGTGTCCTGTTATACGCATCAGAGACATGGACCCTAAAAAAAGCAGACAGAAAAAAACTATTGGCATTCGAAATGAAATGTTACCGACGGGTTCTAAGAATTAATTGGCAAGACATGGTACGAAACGAAGATATCAGGAAAAGATATTAAAGGAAGAGACCATAATAGACATCATCAAGAAGAGAAAACTCAGGTTATTTGGCCACATCTGCAGAATTGACGATGGCAGATTAATAAAACATCTAATATTTGGTAAAATGGACGGAAAATCTCGAAGAGGACGTCCATGAGGAGAATGGCTAGATGACATAACAGAATGGTGTCAGCGCAGTGGACATGACCTGTTCCACCTTGCGCAAGATCGGCGGGCATAGAAAAATCTGATCCCGTAAATGGTTGGCCTCAACGGGCACTAAGCCTACGGGACATGATGATGATGATGAAATGAAGCTGAGTAAGAATATAAAAGAGCGCATCGCCATAGAGAATTTTTATTATTTTTCATTATTTTGTCAACACTTACAAAATGGCAGTCGATCCGGTAAGAGAATGACTTTTAATGCAGTGCAAAGCACAGTATTCATGTGCACTTCCGCGAATTAATTTTTTTCCTTTCTTTTTTTATTTATTTAAAAATTTCATTTTAATTGGAGGATGAATGATGCTGAATTTCATTAAACGCAACGCCGATAATTTTTTGCATGCTTGATCGTGTGCTTTTTTATTATTTTTAAGAGAATCATTAACCTGAAACTAAGTTTTAGCTGAGCAAAGATCTCAATGGAACATAAGAAATCAATAACAGATATACAGCAATCTAACTTTCATCAAAATACTTCTGAGTATCTCATAAGACTGGGTGGAAACGACAGATCTTTCGTGAACAAAATGAGAATGATATCCAGACACACTTCAATTATTTCTGTTCAAAGTTACTTTCTAACAGTTTATTTTCTGCATGTACACAACATGGCTATGAAATTATATACTTGTTATATTAATCCATTCGTTTGTGAGACGAAATAAAAAAAAGTCTGAAAAAGACTTATAGTTAATTTGTTTTTTTTTAAGATTGAAGAGTTTGTTAAGAAGATTGACAGTCTTCACATGGAAATCAATAATATGTGTGAAAATATGTCGAACAGAGCATTAACTAAACAAGAAATTGATACATATACGGACAATATTTTACTTTGGGATAAGTTGGATACACAATTAAAAGAGATGCGTCATGGTAAGTGATTACTATCTAATTACATAGTGTGGAATTGTGTTAATTATTTTTAACTTTTCATTTAGAGAGAGATCAGCGTCAGGCTCCTTAATCATGAAATCGAACTATTTGATTTTTTTCTCTTTTGTCATAGGCTGTTTTTTTCTTTATTTGTTATTCTTCATAATGTAAAGTTTTGTTTGTTTTCTTTTTGTTAAAGTTTTCGTTCTTTTTGTCAAACTATTGTGGTAAACGTTATTGATAGATGATGATTTTTATTCTTGTTTATCCCAACAAGTTGTTGATGTGTAATTTTTTTCTTTATTTTTTTTTCTTGTTGTCAGTTTAGCTTCATAATGAAATAGATGTATCATGGTGACATTTATTATAAGCATGGGTCTAGCTTAAAATGTTTCACTTCGTTACTCGATTTTTATTAGATTTGAGTACTGATTCAAATTTCGAATTAGATGGGAGTATCATCATAGAAAAATATTAGTTCTTCATGTGAATATAGTATAATATTATTCTCGAAAAAAATTCAATCGATTTTTAACTTTATTATGGTAACCACTGTTAATTCTAAATGGCATTCAATTCTCAAACATCCAGTAATGAGTATCACTGCTTATGGTAAACATATTGAAGAAGTTCTACTCACGATGCAATATCCTAAATTAAATTGTTCACTAGGAAAGTTTTTACAAAAATTTATTTTAGGACAAAGTCGACATTTTTAAAAGACGTCACATTATGGATATATCAAGTGATAATCAGCAGATACTGTTGACGGATTTGACCAAATAAACTATGCGCTGGTTGATGATGATTATTTTTCTTATTCCTATATTTAATGTTTTCGAGTTTCAATAGTGGCACAAGCTCATATGATTTTAGATCTCACTATTGTTGCTGAGAGAAAAGTGAAGGCACTCGTCTAGCTCAGTCAAGACATTGTTTATATATAAAGGGATGAAAATCGATAAATACGATTTGATTGTGAAACTTTAATTTCGTATTATCTGATTGAAATTTTTTTTTTAACATTGTTATGAAACCACTTCCTCAATTTAAAAAACTCGAATTGCTCACCATTATTTTGAAGAAAACGAGAAAGTATTTCTTGCACGTGAATCATTCATTCAGCATTAATATAAAAAGCTAAAAAAGATTGTCACTTGCGAAAAACCCTTCTTGAACTGTTAAACTAAGATGACTGGGTGAATCATGCAAAGGATAAAAAAATAATTCAAAAATAAAGCAAACGACAAGTTGTTGCAAAGTTTACTCTATTGAGCATACTAATAGTCTTGACATATACTTGAATCTTGAGTTTCATAGGTACTAGAGAAACGAGCAGCCAGTGCATCACAGAAAGATCAATCAAATCGAAAATTAAGAAGCGATTCTCATTTCTCGACTCTGCATTCAAGCATCACAAAACTTGAATACATTGAATACAATCACTTGAAAAATTTAAACCTTTGATACGATTAAAATCTGATTATATGAGGATGAGTAAAGAAGATTAGCATAGTGTACTGGTTATTCAAATCAGCTTCATCACATTTAATTTGATGAGTAAAATGGAATTTCTCACCTAAGACTTTAATGTAAACACACGTATTGGCTAAATAAGAATATATCAAACATGAACTAAAGTAATTTGGTATAAACAGTTTGTCACAATAATGTTTGCTTTTCTTCATCAAAAGAACAATGAGAAAAAAAAGATCCATTGAGAGAATGCTTAGAAGAAAGATGTTTTTTGAAATGAGAAATAACCACTTTCAACACTTTTATGTTCATTACCATGACTACATTATATACATAGTCTCAATTATCAACAAAATATAGTACACAGGAAATAAATCTTATAGAGGCGAACCTAGGTTATTTTATATGGAGTCATTCAATGAAGATGAGGAGGCGGATGCGATTAAAATCATAAAATGTATTGCTAAGCTATTTAGAGACAGCATCAATTCATTTTAAAGCCTTTTCTACTACGAAAAACGGAATTTTTATTTGTCGATATGAGGCGATTGCCCCCAAAACTTTCCCAAATTCGCCACTGAAATATTGTTTAAAAAAGTGTTGGTTTTTATTAGTACAATAATTTTACTAAATATAATTACTTTCTAAATTTGGAGTAGCGCTGTGTAAAGTTGAAGATAAGATTTGTTAAAAATAAAGATTAGTGATTATCTGTGATAGTTCTCATATAGAAATATTAGTTATTCAAAAATAGTTTGTCAGAGGCATACTAATTGAAAGTGAACGATTTTACTATTTATATTAGGTCTTATCGCAGTTATGGTTAACTTGAACAGAAAACGATTAAATAAAGAGAGGCATGTAAATTATTTTCAGGATGACTAGCCTTTCAGGTACAGCTGTTAGGTCAACCAAATCAAGTCGAAGAAGACCACTATTGTTTTTAATCGATTTTCTAAGAACTATTAATACAGACAATCAGTTCTATTGGTTTTTCTGATTTAGCTGTTCTTCACTTTGTATGCGATATGCTTTTGTTACTTTTGCAAATCACTTTGAGAGAACTGTACTCATAGTTATCATTGCTACAGATATCATATTGATCCTCATTGATTTTTAACACTAATCATTTCTATTCTATAAATCAGGTTTTTCTAATGAAGTTGACGGTTGAATAATTTGTTACAATGTCATGATGAAGTAAGATGAACATTTTAATAAGTACACCGAGAGTAATGTGTCAAGTAACTAAGAAAACATGTGAAGTAGAAGATGAGAACAATTAGATAAATAAGAAAAACTTGCACATAGTCAAAACGATGAACAAGTATAGTTTATGATTTGAAACTGCGTTTCAGATCGATGTAGATCAGATCCATTATATTAAAAAATTTAGGAGCCACTCAATGAAACGTTTTATAGATTTCTGTGTTTTCATAGATCCTAGTTAGTCGATGAGATATCTATTCGTTTCATGTATGGAAAAAGTTCAACAATTTAGAATGATTTTCATAGAATATAACAGTTGAAAAATACGCATAATACTTATTTTCGACTTTAGCAGTAGATGGCATTGCTTCGAATTCATAATGTAGCAAATAATTATTCATGTCAGACTCTTCAAAACAATTATATTGAAGGTTTAATAAATGGTAAGGAATTTTCTCAAAGCATCTCGTTATTTCTGCACATACTGATATCACATGCGACAGGATTGTCAGAAATAGAACGGAAAATATCTTGTCCTACATATATCTACGCTAGAAAATAGGTAACATTAGCTTTCTGCATATATTACTTTAAAAGTAGCATTCTTATCATAACCAATAATTTCTTTCGTCCTACTGCTCGCTACGTATTCGTCTACATGCATGTATTTACACAATGATTATTTTTTTTCTTTCTGTCTCTCGCATTTACCACGATCGACATTATCGAAGCAATACCAATGTTTTTTTCTGTCCTTGTTCTTCTGATTCTTTTCAGTAAGTCGAACTTTGCTCGTGAACTTATTGCGACTCATATAGTAAGCCGAAATATTAAATATACATATATATATTAATCTTATTAATGTGATATTTCAGCTATTTCGTCATGGAGAACGAGCACCCACAATGTTATATCCATCGGATTCAAATGATATATCTTTTTGGTCCAATGGACTTGGTTCGTTAACAATACGTGGCAAATTTCAACATATTCTTCTTGGTCAATATTTTCGTGAACGTTACTCAACATTGTTGAATTCTACTTATGTAGCATCTGAAGTAATTATTTTTTTAATACTAGTTGAAATTGCTTTAATTTTACTTCAAACTTTCAGATTTTTGTTCGAAGTTCAGATTATGACCGAACGTTAATGTCTGCCTATTTAACATTACTCGGTCTGTATCCTTCATCAAAGATTAATATCTCAATTGATCATTTCATAACAACTAATACTTGGCCAGAAAATCTTCCATGGCAACCTATTCCTGTTCATACAATACCTAAATCAATGGATCATGTTGATTGATTTATATTTCTAGTAAATAGATTATTCTTGATTTATTTTAGTTGTTAGGTGTGAGCGATTGTGCCTACTATAAAACACTAGTGGAACAAATGAAAAAGAGTGAACGGATTCAAAATATAAATAATCAATTTCGAGTAAGATCAACTTATTTTTTGATTTATTATTTAAAAAAATGAAATAATTTCTTCTCAGGATTTATTTCAATATCTTGAAAAGAATGCAAAACAATCAGTATCGAATTTGTTTGATGCTTGGGCTGTTTCTGATACTGTCTTAATCGAAGTAAAGATATAATTATAGATTTTAAAGACTATCAAAAAAAAAAAATTATTTTATCTCTATCAGGATACTTACAATATAGCACCATCTTGGGCCACTCCAGCTGTTCTTCGTCAACTTCAACAAATATCTGATATATCAGCGTATCATCTTATGTTTATGCCTGAAATTAATCGTCTACGCGGTGGTTCGTGTTATTATAAACAAATATTAATGATTATATTGATTAAATACATCTTCTCATTGACAGGTCCATTATTACGTGATATATTGGAGAATATCGAAGACTTGATATTAAATAAAACACAAGAACCAAAAGCTAAAATTTATTCAGGAGTAAAATATCAAGAGAATAAGAACGAATGTTTTTGATTTATTGATAAATTGTTTAGCATGAAACAACAATTGCGGCTATTCTCTCATTTTTGGATATCAATTATCCTCATCAACCTCCTCTTGCTAGTGCACTCTTTTTTGATCTTTACCGACAGGGTAAGTTATAAGTCATAATTTTAGAAAGACTGAACCGTATTTTGAAGATAATCATTCATATGGTATTCAATTGGAATATCTTAACACAACCAACGGTCGAATATCGCATCCAATTCAATTACCTGGTAATAAATAAAATAGAAAAATATGATGAACTATTGATATTTCTATAGGATGTGAAAACGTTATGTGTTCAATCACAACACTAAAAAGATTAATTCAAGAACGATTACCAAAAGATATGGAGAAGGAATGTCAAATTCAGACAACAAATGGTAAATGAAACTGTTTTTATCATTAATCAATAATTAATTTATTTAGGATTGATTTCTTTGCATAATTTACATTCTCATTTAATAATATTCTGTACAATCTTTACTATTCTACTCTATTTTAAATAAATGGTACTTTTTATATCTCAAAATACGGTTCAGTTGATCAAATTTGAATATGATGTTAACACAATCTGACTTGTAAAGTAATTGCTTTTAATATTGAACATGACTCAATAGAATTTACTTAGGATAATAGACTTGTCATTGTTGATTTCACAGATATACTGTTTTGTGTATATCCTAGCAGCTTTGTTTACAGTTAAGTAAAAAGAAATGCAGGACTTGTAATTAGTAGATTATTTCATCGTTCTATTTTTACTTCTATGTATCAGTGATTAGTGATTATTTTACCCATCTATTGTTCGATATTTTTGTCCTATCAAGAAGTTAAATCAATGATTGTAATCTACAAAGTTATAGTATTCAATTTTTACTTGTCCATGTAATATTATAATTCGAACTTACCTCATAATTAAAATTCTTAGTTTTTACTTTTCTTCTTCCTTTCTCTCAGTCAGATGTTAGGAGAGCATAACTAGTTCCATATCATAGTATATCTACAAGATTGATGATTTGTATTTATTCAATCTTGATATCTTAACATTTTGTCATTAAAAAATGCTGACGACTGTTTCAAATATCTAGAGAATATATGCAGTTGGTAATCATTGATTGATGAAATATTTTGCTGATAAGTAGAGTTCAGTGAATTGATTAGAAAAAGTCTCAAAAGGATTCGTTTCTTTATGCTGTTCTACTCAAGTTACAAAGATTATATTGGACTTTTAAACTTTGAGAAAGAAATTAAAATGCTGAAGATAAGTCAATCTTTTGATTTTTCTGTTAGATATAATAATTTTTTTTAATTTTCGAGAAGTCAAGCAAAAAATGTTCTTTGTAGGTGAAATTTTTAAAACATTCTAATAATTATGAGACCTTTATTAAGACAAATTTCTGTTATTCAATTTTTCTATAGATCTTATGACAGGTTGAAAATTCAGTACAATGTCCGTAACTTGATCAGAACAACGTACGGAGATGAATCTTTTTAGACTTTCGTTAATCATTTCAGCGAGTCGTATTTATGGATAATATTTCAGTTTGATCAGCAATTAGCAGTTGGATATATTTTTTGATAAGATAAGCAAATGCATAACAATCTTTATATTATCGAGAAAATACTAAGAGAACAAACAATATTCCGAATGTAAGCATATTTTGGCTTTGTATAAGAGAGCTCATTGAACCGGTGGTTGTTACAGTTGTACATGTAATGATAGTAGTTGACACTGTTGTAGTTTTGGTAGTAACATGTGATAATATCTGTGGCTCGATATATTCACCAGTTATATTAAGAATTGTTTGCATCCAATCATAATAGTATGATAATCTTGTATAAACACCTGGAAAGCCGGGTTTTGCACAACCAAACCCATAAGAGACCACGCCTACTTGCTCCCAATATTGTTCTATCCATTGAAAAATTGGTCCACCTGAATCACCTATATAGTCAAATAAATATATTCTTTAAAGAAAAATTGATAATGTTTGAAGACATACCTTGGCAGGAATCTAGAAAGGAGATAGAAAAATAATGCAATTTAACAAAATTAACAATACAAAAAGTTGTCGGCTAATTTTACCTATGTGAAAACTTGTCTATTAACTTGAGCATGAAATCTACTAATGTCTTTGAACAACAGTATAGAAATCTGAATTCACTCTTCTCCACATTCTACACTCATATAATATCAAGAGAAAATAGAAAAATTGACTCTCTGTAAATTTATTATCGTTAAGTTTGTTCATCATTTTTGTCTCGATAGTTTACTGATTTTTACAAAACTAATTTAAATAATGAAAATTATTTTTTCTAAAATGAACCTTGTAAGAAGTTCATTAAGTCACAATTTAATTAAGACTCTCCAACAAAGCTTTTAGGTTATTTTACTTTCTACGACAAACAATGATATTTGTTGATTTTAAAGAAAATAATAATCATAAATGAAAGAATGATCAGAAACAAAAACAAAACGAGTATTTCCCATTTTCTAAATCAAGTGTAATATTCATTGAAAATAAAAACTTGTTTTGAACAATATTAGAACTATGCCATATAAGTTTAACGTACAGTTGTAACTCACTCACCTTTTCCTCCTTCATATAATCCGGCACAGAATTGCATGTTAATATCATTGATTGAACCATTACATGCTGAATGATGATTGTCTATTGCATAAATTTGAACTTGCTGAAGATGGTCTGGTGATTGGGAACTTTCTTCTTTCATCGTACCCCATCCAATAACAGCAAGATGTGTACCATTCTTTGGATATTGATTAATAGAAACTGGTGGATAGACACGATTCACACACGTTTTAGCCAATTTTTGATTGTTTTGAAATATAAACGGATGGTCAATGTGCAACAAAGCAATGTCATTAAGAAAATTTTGGCTTAAGTGAGTATAATTTGGATGTATATATATACGAGAGACATTTCGTACTTGAGCAGTTGAGTCCGATCGATTTGTTATACCTGCTGACACAGTCAAAGTATTTTGTGGAACTCCCCATACGCAGTGAGCTGCGGTAAGAATATATGAAGATGAAAGAATGGTTCCACCACATCGATGTTGCCTAAGTATGCCATAACGAAGTGAAATGATCATTGACCAACTATGATCGATAGCATTTTCTCCGCCTACAATGCGTGAAGGCGTCAAAAACACATCATTGTATCCACAACCACATGGAGCAGATCTATTACATGCAAACAAAACTGGCGATTTAGTAGTACTACTGGTAGAAGGTGTAGTAGTGGTTTTGGCAGAAGTTGATATTGTTATGTTCATTTGATTTACAATTTCTTCGATCCAATCGTAAAAAGCAGCAAGCCTCGTGAATACACTTTGATAACCTACAGATGCGCATCCATTCATCACATAAGAGGAAATGCCTACTTGTTCCCAACGATCACTTAACCACTGGAAAATTGGACCACCGGAATCACCTATTGTATGAAAAATGTTTAAAAAAAATTAGTAAATCTATTCATTCTATATTGAACACGCAATTACATACCATAACATATTCCTAGATAAAAACAGAAAAAAAAGAGAGTTAACATAGACATTGAAATAATTATAAAGAAATTCTCACCTTTACCACCTTCATACAATCCTCCACAAAATTGTACATTAACATGTCCGATAGATCTTGCACATGTTGAATCATTGTGATGAATTGCATAGATACTCAACTGTTGTAGTACTTCAGGTTTTATGTTAGCAGGCTTATTTGCAGCACCCCAACCGATTGTAACTAACATGGATCCATTTGACGGATATTTCATTATATCTTCTGGTGAATTGATTCGAGGTGGTCGACAGGTTCGTTTAACTAATGGATGTGTATCAATATTAAGTGGTTCATTTAAGTGAAGAATAGCAATATCATTTTTATACAATTGTGGTTGTCCTGCATATTCAGGATGGATGAAAATTTGATCCACACGTCGAATTATTGGGGTACTTGATGTTAGATTATGAATTCCAGCAGCAATAGTTATATTTTGTGACAATATTGACGATGGATTGAAGTTATCAACACAATGTGCAGCCGTAAGAATATAATATTCATTTAAAATAGTACCACCACAACAATGAGCATTAAAATTTCCATCATGATAACAGTTGTATCGAATTGATACTATCATTGACCAACTGAATGGAAATGCTGTATTGCCACCGATTATTCTTGACGGTCTGAAAACCACGCTTGTTGCACCACATCCACATGATGCATTGCTATTACACCTGTAGAAGATTGGTGGACGGTAGGCAACTGTTGTAGTAGTTGTTGTATAATTGCTTGGATTCATGATCCATTCGATCCAATCGTGAAAATAAGTAAGTCTGGTATAAACGCTTGGATGACCAACTGCTGCGCAACCCCTCACTACATAAGAAGCTATTCCAACTTGTTCCCAATGGTCATCTAGCCATTGCAAGACAGGTCCACCCGAATCACCTAAGAAGGAAATCAACAAGAAAAATACTAAACTATTGATCGAATTAAACATATCATACCATTGCATGGACCTAAAAAAAGAAGTAAATGAAGAGATACAATGTTTTGTTTTGATCGAGAAAATAAAATAAAATTGTTTACCTTTACTGCCTTCATACACTCCGGCACAAAATTGTACATCGATATCACTTATATATTGTGCACATGTAGGATGTATGTGATGAATTGCATAAATATGTAATTGCTGCAAGACTTGAGGTTTCACATTGAATGGTCTATTTAGAAGACCCCAACCGATAACAGCCAACATGGATCCATTTGAAGGATATTCTCTAGCATCTTGTTGAGTGCTCATTCGAGGTGGACGACAAGTTCGAGTAATACGTGGATTTGTATCAAGATCGAGAGGTTCAGTCAAATGAAGTATAGCAATATCATTTTTAAACCAATGTACTGGTCCTGTATAATCAGAATGAATAAAAATTCGATCGACTCGTCGAATTATTTGATTGTTTTCAGTTAGATTATGAATTCCAGCAGCAATAGTTATATTTTGTGACAATATTGACGATTGATTTATTTTATCAACACAATGAGCAGCCGTAAGAATATAATACTCGTTTAGAATACTTCCACCACAACAATGAGTTGTCATATTACGATTCTTAAGACAATCATATCGAAGTGATACAACCATTGACCAACTATATGGAATTGCTTCTTCGCCACCGACAATTCTCGAAGGTGTCAATGCAACGTTTGTAAAACCACATCCGCATGAAACATTATTTTTATTACATATATAAATATTTGATGGACGATTGATGGTTGCTGTTGTTATTCTTGTGACGGATGTTGTTGAAGCTGTATAGTTCATTCGATTTATAACTCTTTCGATCCATTCGTAGAAAGCAGCCATTCGTGTAAAAACAATTTGATAATTAGCTGCTGCACAACTATCCGTACTATATGAAAAAATACCAACTTGCTCCCAACGATCGCCAATCCAACGAAGGATTGGAACACCAGAATCGCCTGTTAAATGAAGTATAGAAGAGAAGAGAAGCTGAAAATTTCTATATACTTACCGATACATGCACCTTAAATAAAAGCAAAAAAAATCGATCGATAACATAAAACTTTTGAAAACAAAATCAAACAAATTACTTTTGTAATCTTTATATACTTCTGCGCAGAATTGTGTTTCAATATGATTGATTGATTTGGCACATGTTGAATGATCATGATAAATTGATAAAAGAGTTGTCTGTTGTATTATATCACTTGCTGTATAATTCGAATTTTCATTAAAGTTGAATCCAATCATAACTAAAGAAATATTCGATGGTGGATATTTCACGATATCATTTGTGGAATTCAATTGTGGTGGCAAACATGTTCGACCAATTAATAAATTTGTGGTAAAATCAAATGGCTCAGCTAAGTGAAGTATGGCAATATCGTCTCTCAATCCATTCACAAGTCTTGTCCAATTAGGATGAATAACAATTTGGTCAACCTTTCTAATTGTTTGAAATTGTTTGGATTGACTATAAATACCAGTAGCAATAGTGACATTACCTGCTAAGAGAATAGATGCATGTATCCGTTCAACACAATGAGCAGCTGTAAGTATATAAGAATCACTTAGAATAGTACCACTACAACAATGAGTCGCAACATTCCCATTACCAAGACAATCATATCTAAGTGATACAATCATTGGCCAACTGTCTGGAACTGCATTCTTATCGCTAACAATATGCGCATTCATCTCAACATTTTTAAAGCCACAACCACATGGGACTGATCGTTGATTACATTCGTAGTAAGAAATTACATACGGTACCCAAATAGCAGCTATTAAAAATAGTCTGATGAATCTATGATACATAATAATCTTAGAAAAAGTGTATATGATAGAAGAAAAAGCTGGACAAATTTATACAGATCCACTATATTTTCTTAGAAAATATTTGTTCTTTTCACAAATGTATCTAAATAAAATATTGATCAAAAGATTTAAGGCAGCTAGCACAATATCATTGGACTTTGTTATATCGAAAAATTGAAGCTTGAAAAATTTGAAAATTAATCTGATTAAAAAGCTATATTAAGTTGTTATTTGTCATCATTTGAAGAATTACATATGTTTATTATGAATGGAACAACTTCAATACTTGAGTAACATGTTCTCACTAGATGTACCTCAGTTGATATTCGATATTGTTTATAAAAGATTTTACTTTTCTATATAACTACGAATTATTGCGAACGGATAAAAATATTACCAACATGAAATATATCATATTTCAACTAATAACTGTGATGACGTCAGTTCTTGAAACAACAACAAAAAATTTTCTTGAGATGACTGTTTAAAAATTTGAAGTTGATTTTTTTTCCATTACGAACACTTAACAAAAAATTAATAGAATAAATTTAAGTGCTTTTATAGCTTTATATAAGTATGATTATTTGAATTATGACAACGTTCCACTCAGCTTTTTGTTCAAATGCTTAAACATGTACCTAAAATGTCAAGTTTTTGTATAGCTATTGGATATGAAATGTTCTTTTAGAATTATTTATAACTAAGTATTTTATTACAATTAAACTTACTTTTGTCTAATAATAATAATCTGTCTGAACTGTTTGAATAAAATAAAGCCTTTTTCAGAACAGTAAACATATTCTTGTTCGAATCGTGTAGGTGTTCATCATTTGTTATATGGACAACAACACATAGAAAAACGAATTTATTTCATAAAAAAGTTATATAAAAATTGATACGACTTAGCAATATATGACATTTTATGAAATGTTTTATTTGAAAAATAATAACCAATGAAAAATGTTCGTATAAATTCACAACGACTATTTAAAGCTATTGAAAAATAATTTGTGTTTTAAAAATTAAAGTAATGTATGAGTACTAAATTCAATATATAATCAACATAGTATGTGATTTGTTAAAATATTCAATTGCCGTGTTTTACATTAAGATAAATAGAAGTGTATCAAGACTTTCACGAGATGATTTATTAAAAATGATTTCAAAATTTAATGGCTTATCTATACTAAGACATATATAAAATAAAAAGTATTACAAAGATTTTGTGACGTTCTATATATCGGTATAAGTTCTTGCATAACACATTCTTAAATGAATCCTTTATCAGTCATCTCTGATTATTCATAAGATATAATACAAGCTTTATTAATTTTATAAAATCCTACTTGACTTATTTTCTTTTATTCTAGTAACTTTAGATGATTTGATTGATGTGAATAATAATATGCAAGACAAATATGAAGCTTGAACCCATTTTTGTTTTCGTTTTTCATATATTTGCTTTGTTTTCATTTTAGTGATATATAATTTGAGAAAAGAATTTAATTCAAGCTTGTTTTTGTGTTATTCTCATCGAAAAGACTTGTCATTGTGCTAAGTTTGAAAAACTTCGATCTTATACCATCATTAAAGAACATTTTAGTGTCGTAAAACTAGAAGAGAATGAATAGATATGAATCTACCGATATGATAAGTATTCACAGTAAATAGTCTATTATTGCCAAAATGACGATGGGATAATTTCATAGGAAAAGTATCATATTATACACGGTCACCACCGAATCGTTTAAAACTTCCAGAGTTTATAGAGCTCAACGAGCTGATTATTTTTAATCTAAAATCTTATAGGCTTGTTTTTCCTATGAGAATGTTTTCTCTCTTATTTTATGGTCGAAATACAAAAACCCTATACACATTCAGATGGTTCGCGTTTTGTTCTCTCAGATCACATATACATCGGACAACTCAGCTTCGGAAGACGGACACTTACATATATGACAATTGACCGATCCATAAATAAAAGCTGTCTCATAATAGTAAGCCTTTTCCGAATTCGCAGATCATCGTTCTCTCGATCTTTTAATATATGGGACTTTTCAGCTCAATTTAATTCTCATCCACTAAATTGCCTTAATGTGTTTTCTCACGATTTTGTGTAACTGATGTTGGTCCTCATTCGAAGATTTCTCGAGAAAGATTCGATGAAATGACCTGAATATTTTAGTTGAAATGGATTTCAACTAGTAGAGAAAAAAAATTGCTAAATTCAACATTGTATCCTATTTTCTTCGAGATCATATTTGAATCATAATATGTTAATATCATTGTTACATTGTTCAATGTTTAAAATTGTTTCATAGAATGTGACTTTTTTTGGAATATTCTATTGGGAAAACGACCGAATGTCAGGAGCTGACTTAACGATATGGATGAGTGTGAATCTTCACACGATTCTATCATAGTATCATAGAGTCTAGTTAAAACACCTCCATTCCATTTGAAAAAGCGCTCGCTTACTAAAAAAAAGATCAAAGAAAAATAGGTGAATTCATCAGCAAAAACATCCCTATTCTTAAAACAAAGCACAGCATGAATTATGAAATCGGATCAAATCAAGATAGTAAATCCACCCTTGTTCTTTTTTTTCCGAGAAGATCAATGTTTTGTGGGTATATGTTTAACCGAAGAAGTTTCTTATCAATTTTTAATTCTTCCAAGTAGACAGCAAAAGCCACTAAATACAATACTTTTTGCCTTAAAATATGCCTAATCTTGTATTGAAAAAGTGTTGTTTTCTTATATTTTCAAATTCTCGTTCATATATTACTCTGACAAAACTATTTTGATTTAATCTGAAATATGAGATTGAAACAAGTGTTATTAAATTCGTATCACTAGTATAGGTGCATCTTTCTTTCAGAAACTTGTTCAATAAAAATAGTGAATGAAAAAATATCTATAGACTCATTCTGGAAATTTTTATAACACTATCAAAGCCTTTTTTGTTCTATCGAATTGTTTCTATGAAATTTAGAGGAGTAGTTTAACTCTTATTTTTAACTACTGTTTAGAATATTTGAAAGTATAACATTTTTGTCAATTTTAGGTTAACTATTACTACCATTTAGCTGTCTTTTGTCGTTATGTCTAGTTTAAATAGATGTTTAGAAGACTGTAAGAATTTTGCCACAAGATTTTATGTCATTTTATCAGAGATAATGATTTTTCATACACTTTCTTCTAATTCTCCAGCGATTGTACAAAACCAATCATTGAATTTCAAAATGAAGTCTCACTGTCTATTTGTTTAACTTGGCTAATTGCATCTGAATATTAAAAACACTTCGACCTCTAATAATTTAATATGAACTGCTTTGATTATTAGTAAACAGATTTAACATCAATCTGATATTAATTAATAAGATTTGATATTATGATCTTTTTCTATAGTTTTTATTATCAAGAAAAAAAAATGAGAATCAAAGTGTGAAAAATCTTTTTCATCTGATTTAAGATTTCTTCAACCATCTGACACGATAGTTTATTTAACATAGATATTTCGTTCGACTATCATTAAATAAAGAAATTTATACATAAAGATAGAACCCAATGAAAAGAAAAAAAACACTATTGTACACCGAGAACAACAATATAGTTAAGTATATGTGAAATATATCGGAATAGTCATTCAAAGATCAACTAATGTTGAAAGTGAACGATTTTTAAGATCATCTGGTGACGTTGATAAAATATTAGATGTAGAATTTGATCCATATAAAATTGAATCATATTGTTGAACTTTAATTACACCAACACCTCCACCTAATCGACGATAATTCATTCCACCATGTAATTTCCAACAATTCGATTCACTATCATATAATTCAACACTTTTTAAATACGCTGCACCCTAATCAAGAAGGAATAAAATATTAAATTTATATAATAGTTTAATTTAATAACTTACATCAAATCCACCAATAGCCATTAAATGATTATTCACAACAGCTAAACCAACCTATTAATAAAAATAGATGAACTATTTTCAGTGTTTTTTGTTGCACAATCCTTACTCCACTTCGCCTTGAATTCATTGCAACAACTGGTGACCATTGATTCAATTTTGGATTATATCTTTCAGCTGTTGATAATTCCGTTGCATCATCTCGACCACCCACCGCATCTATTTATTCAAATCCAAATAAAATAATTCGATTCAAAAAATAAATAAGCCGTTAGTACAATTCCTGTGGAATTAAAATGTGGAATATTGTTTTATTCTATTTATTCCTCTGATTATGTCTGTGAGTGGTACAAATTTCTATCTCTTTACTTCAACACTTATTTTAGATCATGCTTCAAACAACTACATACATATATATCCATTATAAACAGCACAACCAAGATGTTTTCGCCGTGTATTCATTGATGCTACTGATAACCATTTATTGGCTTTTGGATCGTATCTTTCAACTATAGAAAATAAAACAATAATTTTTGAATAAAACGAATATCAAAATATTTTGTGTTACCTGTACTAAGAGGAGATTGTCCATCTGATCCTCCAATAGCATAAAGATATCCATCAAGAACAGCTACAGCTACACCTAATCGTTTTGTACCCATTGATGCAACACGAAGCCATCGTTGAATTGATGGATCATATCTTCACAAAGAAAAAAAAATTTATTGATAAAAAAGAAAACAAAATAAATAAATTTTACTTTTCAACAAGATTTAAACATGAAATTCCATCTTGTCCACCAACAGCAAATAGACAACCATCAAGTACAGCAACACCAACACTTGTTCGGCATGAACTTGTTGGTGCTATATCATTACTCCATTGATTTGTTTGAGGATCAAATCTACGAAAGAACAATACATAAGAATTCAAAATAAAATAAGTTTTTTTTTTGAACACTTTACCGTTCAACACTGTTCAAATAACTAACACCATCATGGCCACCAACTGCATATAAAAGATTATTTAATACACCAACTCCAACACCACATCGTCGTTTTGACATAGGTGCTACAGCTCTCCATTCATTTGTTGTTGGATCAAACATTTCAACACTCGCTATGGCATCACCTGAACACCATCCACCAACTATTTAAATAAAAATAAGTTAATATATGTTTTAAACTGATTAAAACAAAGTAAATAAACTAACCAGCAAAAAGAACTTCGCCTGATTTAATAGGTTTTCTTGGTCTTGTTCGTGGTCCTTGCATATTTAAACGTTCTTGTGGTAATAATAAATAATCTTTAGCTTCGTCAACTAAGTCTCTACATGCTTGATCAGATCGAATTAATGGATCTGAGCTAACTGTATTAACAAGAAATCTAGCATTCATTAATGGAAATCGTACATGTTCTAATATCTAAATAAATAATTTATTTTATTTTTATTTTTATTTTAATGAAAATTTTACTTTAGGTAAATGTTGTTTTCTTTGTTGAAGATCACATGAAATCCATTGCATAACAGCATTAAAAACATCTTCTTCACTTGTCATATTTAGTTCATCACTTGATATAATATCAATTAATTGATTTATAGGTAAACATAAAAATTCTTCACTTTCTTTAACATCAGTAAAATGTTGTTGAGCATAACGATCAGCAATACGTAAAAGTTCTCGACATGAATGTGTGTCAGCAAATGCTCGAATACCCAAACAATTTGATGGATCAAGTTGTTTTTGAAGAAATTCACAACATGTTATTTGAACTTCTTCAATCTAAATTTTAATTTTATTAAATAACAATTGATACGAAAAAGAATGAATTATTTTCGTTCTGTCTCTTTTGTTTCTCTTTTTTTATCCGAAATGATAACTTTTATTCTGATCTATACGAAAGAGCAGTTTTTCTTCTATGAAACATTGAAAATATTAGTCGAAACAAGATGCATCGTTACGATAAAATTCGTATTGATCATTAAATGTCAAGAATTTAATGTAATGATGTGTCAAGACAAACAAAAAAGTCGATAAAGAAAAACCTTCAACAGATTAATCCTTAATTTACAAAAAATAAAATTCTCACTTACGAGCGAATGTTTCTAAGTATCGAATCGTATTTGAGTCGATTCTATATGTATCATGTAAGTTCTAATAAGCAATGAATAACCTGAAAATAGCTCAACCTAATAACTTATTGCTGCTGAGATATTGTATTTCTTAGTACAATGTCGTAGCTAGAATCCATCCGGTCAAACATTTTCAGACTCGCAATAAACTATTAGACTCAACTCTTTTCAGAGTATTCATAGCTCATTAGAAGCTACATGATGTACAAAATCTCGACTCAAAAACGATCTGATACTTAAAAATGTTTCCTAGTCAGAAAGTAAAATGACTTTTTTTTGCATTGACCAAGAACATAAAAGAAAGAAAATAACTTTTCAAGTAGTTACACAATTTACAATTCCAAGAAAGCATGTTTAGGAATTAAATTGGTAAAATAAAATGTTAGAAAATGGATATCAACGAAAATCTTATCTCTAAAGTCAATAGATTGAAACAATATGTCCTATTGATCGCTTATAACATAATATGAATGAAAAAAATTACTAAAAAATAAGATATTCTTATGAAATTAGCTCAAATAAGTACGATGGTTTTAGATGCTCTTTTCATCGTTTGGTAGGCGCAGTACAACGATCGTATTTCATTGTATTCTAAACGATAAAATACTCGATTTTCAGATCATTACCAATTATGTACACCAGGATCGTAATACTACGCCTACCAAAAGTCAATTTACAGCTATTTGCGACCGCAAACTGTACGAACTTTCTAGGTAATGTTGAATTCATTCATCTAGTGATATCATTATATTTATAATTTAGTTTGATACGTGTTCTAACGTGTTACTCGTCTCATTATTATTGAAAAATATTCACAAATCATATAAGATACATTGATAAACATACTCAAAAAACTAATGTAACGAATATTTGCTGTATATTTAGGTTTGCATAAAAACAAGTTGAATCAAATAATATTTATCCTGAAGTAAAATCAACATTCTCACAGTGGTAGAATAAAACAAGGTTTATTCTCTCTGACATATTTCTTATGAAACAAATGTTCATTCTTACTTGGAGTATGCAAGCAGCTGGTAATAACATCTGAACATTTTTTTCATCGACAATAATTCTTGAAGTATAACAAAATTCAATTAATAATTCCATAGCAAATTCATCGATATCATGAATAATTATTTCGGTTTTTCGACTTTCAGCTAATTCACCAGTAAACATTGCTTTGAAATATGGGCTACATGCTAAATAAAACAAAAATAAAAACAATTTATTCAATTTAATTTAAGAATAATTACCAGAAAGTACAGCTCGATGTGCAGGAATTTGACTTTGTCCAATAATTAAAATAACATCACATAATTCTTTTTGTTTTCTTAATAAATTTAAATTATCTATTAAAAATTTTGCATGTTTATCTGAGATTTTTATTAATTTATTATTGCATGGAGAACAATCTTTAAGCATATCAATCGTTGTACTACTTTGATTTTCATGTTGCATCGTACTAAAATATATCGAACATTGGTTTTTTGTTTTTATTTAAAGTAAATATTTTTATTAAAAACGAACCAAGATTTGCTTGTTAATAAAAGTATTTGCGTTGTGTCCATTTGCTCCATTGAGTTGATTTTATTTTGACAAACAAGAAATAATCAATCTATGTATGAATGATGAGAGATCATATCCGTTATAATTGATAGTAGCGACATGCACAATCTTTCATAAAGAATAAAACAGAGGATACGAAGTCAATTTTTATTGGTGAAAACAACATTTACAATATGAAATATCTCAAGCACAGTTGCCTTGAGCAGCGTATTATATGTAGAAAAGATCGAAAATGTAGTGATGGTGTCAGAAATTCTCGTTGAAGTGGATTAAATCCCTAAACTCTCAAAATATAAAAAGATATCATGAAACTCTTTTGAACTTTTGACTTATTAACAATCTTATGATCAGAATTCAATTTTTTAAATTAATATTTCAATTAGGTTCTTCTCGTTTTTTTCTATGATAAATAATTAATTGTGCCAATTATATGCGATTGAGATAATAGCTTTTTTTATTAAGCCACTATATTTGTTCAATGGTATTTTTCAGTTATTAAATCGTCAAGTCGTGTTAATATCGTTGACATTTAATTATTTAGAAGGAAAGTAACGACAATTATAACAATAACATGCATCATTTTGTATAGTGTATTCTAACCACATTTTATTTTTTCACGAGTTTGACTGAAATGAATATTTTTTTGGTAATTTATTGAATAAATGGTTCATTTTGTTTGAATAGAAGAATCATTATATGGTGTGCCGATATTATTTGGAATAAATTTTGTTCCAAAACTTTCATTAAAAGAAATAGAGCTTGTAAGAGAAGATGAAGAAATGTACAAAACAAGATGACACAGAGTTTGATCACCAAAGAATGAAAAAAGAGAAGAAAAGTTTTGAAATTCAAATGAGGATAAAGAAGATCAAAGAATAATGTTCAGTTCTATTTGTGGTTCATCATCACTTGTTTTCGTTTGTTAAAAGAAAGAAAAAATGACACTCTATAGTTCCATGTTTGTCAGGATGCATTTCTCAATATTGTGATTTAACAGAAAGAAGAGAAAATGATATATAGCATGGTTGCAGTGAATAAACAACGGGAAACTGGACGAAAACTTCCGCAACTCAGAGACCGGTTTGTTGTAATATCACTATGAAAGATTATCGATTCTTAGTAAAACTTTAAAAATTCTAGGGAGAACAAGACTCCTTGACGTTGCCACTATAACAGGTATTAGTTGGATGAAATTCAAGAGTAAATGTCTAATTCGAGTTTGAATGTAAATGATATTTCCCACAAGTATTTTACTGTTAAAGTTGAAAAATAGTTTATTAATGTATGTTTATGATTATACGTCAAATACGATAAAAATTTCTCTTAAAAGAAAAAATAATATATTTATTCAAATGCTAATTCTTCCATTGGACGTATTATTATTTATATTGTGATGTTTATTGATCCTAAATCTTCTAATGTTTGACTTAGTGCTTTATTTATTTGAGCAAGAACATCGTGTTTACCTCGATGAATATCTACTGAATGAATTGCTTAAGATGTTTTGTCTTCTAGGGCTTTATCATATATCGTTCACAAACTTGAATTCCCATACAAATTTTTATTTTCTTCACACATTCTACAAAGAACAAAAATTCTGATGCTAAACAAAGAAAAGTACAAATGGAATATAAAAAAAAAGCGTTCAAGTACCATTATTGATAATGTATAAATATCTTCAGGTTCATTTTAACTTCTAATTTCTTTTCATGAATCAGACACATATGATTGAAGTACTTTTTTTTTTGTACATGATTGATATGTACTTTGATAATATCTTTCAGCTAAACAAAACTAACGAAATTTTTATTGAATAAAATAATTAAATTAAAACAACTAATCATAAATTCATAAGTATAGTCTTCCTCATCGATCGATATACTGGTTGCTGCATCATAAATGCTAATGTTGTTATCACAACTGATGACTCATCAGCTAATTTAAATAATGTATAATTTTTTACAATAGAATTTCATTTTATTATTGAACATGAAGTAACATGAGCAATTTCAAAATCTTGAACTTATTCATTCATTTGTATATTTATTCTTTATAATAATTGATGATCTAATCTATTATATACAGTGCTGAACACAAGTAACTGCCTTTCTCTTCATGCAGTGTCACTATTCGTTATAATACTGAGCTGATATATTGAGTGAATGCGTGCGACAATAAATTCGTTCTTCATCAGTTCACATATACTAAAGTTATTATTCATACATCTTCTTTTACAATGAAAAATATATTCAACAGAAACATGCACTTAAAAAGTTTTATATCTCATTTTGCTATTCCACAAACTACTGTCTGTCCAAAAATATAATGACCGCTGGTATTCTTGAAATGATTCAAGAATGGAAAAAGCAAGAGAGCTGTGATTTTCATCAATACTTTTATAAACGAGTCCTTTATGTATTCACAAAGATATGCTGGAAATCTTCGCCAACTCAAGACTTCGCCATAATCAATCTTAGAAAGAGTTTGTCCTGGTTTTTTAAAGTTCCACACGAATCTATATGTTTATACTATGCAAAACGTAGTCCAAAAACCAATCTACAAAATGATGCAAAGTTGATCTCTCCTACTGTTATGGTTAAAAAATGGCGCACTTACTTCTGAGACCCATATAACTGGTTTTTCTAAATAGAGCAGCTTGCAAGTTCATACCATAAAAATACATTGTTAGTCAGGATTTCCTTAGCGGAAATAGCTATTCTGAATCTCGAACATCTTTCATAATTGAAGATGAACAGTTATACTATGCAGATAGAATATAAATTCAAAATATATGATTAAAATGTAAAAAAAAATGAGAAAAATTCAATTTGATGAAGGAGGAACAAACTGATTTCGATAGCAGAAATCAAGGAAATAGCTGAAAATAATGCAATCAATTTGTTCCCATTGCTTCATATCCAGGGAACTTTCTACTAAAGTTTTCAAAATGAATTGGTCAGAGTCATCATGGAAAAAATTCTATCTTACTAAGAACCAACATTTTCCTCTCCAACCGATATTCTTAATTAGGAGAAAATATCTCAGTTATTTGAAAGTGATTTCTAACAGCATACAGATTATAGACAGCTATGACGTCAAGCTATCGAATAAAAGATTCGATGAAAATATTTGTACCAACATGGTTGAAGTGAGATGATCAAAAGAGAAAGATGATGTTTGAATCAAAACTCCAATAGATATAAATCGATGTAGGATGGGTTGTTGTCTGAGATCAACGGTTTATTATCGTCCATATACAGACAAAATATCAGCTTAATATCATAAGAGATGGTAGCACTTCATGGGGATAACTACTATTATTAATAAGTGTGTACGAAGCTAGATACAAATAATATTATGAAAAAAAAAACAGAGAACGAATATAACATATAATTGAACTTGAAAAACAATATAATGACTAAAAACATGTTTAATACATCGAACAATGCATTTGGTATGAAAGTTTTCTTTTCATCTTCACTTGACAAACAATCAAACAAAGCTCCATAAGGCAAAACATCTCACGTACTTTTATTTAGCAGATATTTATCGAGTGAGACACAATGTTTTTGTTCAAATGAAAATAATAATAGGTCATATATACCCACATCTGGAATCAATAGCAATCACAACGTACTTAACAATACATTCAACAGATGGATCATTTGCACAAATCATCGAATTAACGATTGAATAGATAGTTGTTTATTATAGTTGAAAGTTTTTTATTAATTTTATTGTCTTGTAATAATACAAAACATAAGCATATAATGGAAGACACTTTCTTATAAAATTTGTATTATGTATTTTACAGTAAACTATTTTTTACAATTAAAAAGTATTATTTTGTATTTAAATTTGAATTCGACAATGACTCTCGATTTTCGTCTATAAATAAAAAGCGCCTAGAAAAAATAATCAAAAGATTATCATTGTTTTTTGTTTCATTTAAATCATATGTTGATTACAATTTCATATCATACGACAAATACCACTCGCATCTTGCAAATATTTTATATAAATCTACTTTTTTTTTCATTTTTTCTTATGGCTTATGTGATTTGGTTTGATTTTTCTAATATTCTAATAAAACCTTTTAACAATAATAATCAACGACATAAACGTGCATTATTCTCTGTCTTAAATATAACAAATACCGAAAAGAAAATATCAATTAAAAATTATTTTGTTAATCGTTATTGTATAAAATATAGTGGTATTCAACAACCATTTCGATTTAATGAACAATTTGGTCAAATTGACATAAGTGGTAAATTACGTATAGTTGTATCCATTGATGCACTTGATTCTTTCACAAATCGATATAACGAATATAGATATAGAAGTTTTCCTCTCAATTTTCAAATTGTAAGCTAAATCGATCAAGAAATAATTTATTCAAAATATTATTCCTAGAGTTGTGCAGTTGTTTACATTCTTATTTGTATTATTCTTCTTACAAAAACATTGTATATAAATACTTATTTGTTTATTAAAAATCTATGTTTTGATTTTTGTACTTTAGAATTCCAAAAATAATCATTCGATTCAATAATATCGCTGGTTAATAAAATAAAATATAAAATCTTTTATTAAATATTTTTCAACATTGTCTTTGGACATTGGTACATATTATCATGAAAATTAATCAATAGTTCAAGTTGTACTATCTTATATACGATCTAAATATTAACAAAAATATAATTTCAAACCTTGAAAATGGGTTTAATAATGATGCTTTTTTAAAGTCTTATCTTATCAGAAACATGTATACAGGTAATGTTAAGTACCGAATAATGTCTTGATACAAAGAGAAAAAAAATAGTTATGAAGAAATTTTTTATTTAATTTTTGTGCTCAAAAAAGATTTTTAAATTCGAGTAACTTCAGTTAAAGTTGATTAATTTTTATTTTGTACATCAGAGCTGATAGTATTTCAAGGAGATTGCTTTAGTCTGTCTATTTTAGAACATATATCATCATCATTCTTTCACTTAATTCTCCACAAGTGTAATAAGGAAGTAGTTCAAATATTAGAACGAGAAGTTATTGATATACGATATGTGATCATATATCCACGTCTGTTGTCAAGATCTAAGAGGCAGCTGAAAAATTCTTTCACTATCGTCTCATCTTACTAAGGACCTAATGACTACTATCATGAACAGTTGAATAAATATTTTGTGTTATATCGATAACATCAGGTGGGGGAATAGACGAGTTAGTTGTGCATATGCTACTTATCTAAAATTAAATTTAAACTGTAAATTATTTAAGGGGCTCTCATAAAAAGATTAATGTGACCTATCAATTATAGAGATAAAAATAGTAGATTAAACCGAACATATACTTGTCTATATATATATAGAGTATTCTCGTCTTTAGTCAATTTTAACACTTAAAAACTATCTACTGGAAATTGATAGTTTTTGTTAAAGAATTGATAACTATTCAGCAAAAAGTGCATCAGAAGGAGACGGAACGAATCGTCAAATATGACACTGTCTCGTGTTCACCTTGCTGTCGAAAATCTTGCTTCACCCCGCGATGAAACGATATAATATGACGGCTTACGGATTTATAGTCTTTGATGGTCTCTGGTTAACATCTGTCATGGTCTGAGGAGACAGAGGAGAGGGGGAGGGGTCAAAATTTCTACTCTATAGATCTCAACACTTATTTTTGATCGAGTTTCACAAAAAAAGGCGATTTTGCGTATTTAAAGAAGGAGAAGAAGAATGCACGTGACTTTTATTATTATTTTTATCTTTATCGCGGTAGATGTGAAAAAAAAACAAAGACTAACTGGTAATAAAGCATCAGAACGACATACCCTTCGTCTAGATTAGTTAAACGAAGTAAACATAAAAAAACAGAATAGTAGACTAGTAGACATTTTGAAAAGTAAAAGATAAATTATTTACTATAAGAAATCAACATAATCAGAATGACATTTGGTATTCGTAATATCGTTGGGATTCATCGTCTTCATACAGGGCAAAAAAACTATTTAACTCCTCTGATATTCAAAACGTATGGACAATGGTCTTATTGGCAAAAAAAAGCTTTTGATTATCTTATTTGGTGTCATGTAGCTCATACACTTGACTTTAGTGCTGCACTTTTATGTTGGCTTTGGATATTTCCAATAACATTTCCTGAAGCAAATGAATGGCATATTAAATGGGTATCACGAGTTTTTCTTTATAATATAGCTTGGGAATTTATTCTTTATTCATTTTGGCATTGGATGACTCATGCACGTATGAGTCCATATCCTCAAGGACCATTACATGAAAAAAAATTTAACCCAATCAATCCATATGAAGCAAAAAGTCAACATCATTTATTAAGAGAAATAACATTTACAACACTTGGTTGGTTACAATCAGCTTTTGTACAATGTGTTTTTATGTGGTTATGGGCTAGTGGTCGATTACCTTATTATAATGATTTTTGGTCTCGACCATTTTTTTCAATATTTATTCTTTTGAGTATTACGTTTTGGAGAGAATTTCATTTCTATTGGGTAAATTAGATAATTTGTTTTCAATTGTAAATCTATACTGGTTTTTGTATAGGTTCATCGTTTTATGCACCCATGGTGGTCTATTCAAAATGGATTACGTCAAGGTGATATTGGTGCATTTCTTTATCGTCATGTTCATAGTCTTCATCATCAAAGTCGTAATCCTGGCCCATGGTCTGGATTATCTATGCATCCAATCGAACATTTTATTTATTATACATGTGCTTATTTTCCTCTTGTTTTTGCATGTCATCCACTTCATTTTCTTTATGCAAAATTTCATGCAGATATTGCACCAATTGGTGGTCATGATGGTCATGATGATCCAGCTGGTGGTGCGGCCTATCATTATTTACATCATGCACTTTTTGAATGTAACTATGGAGTACCATTAATTGATTTTGATCGTCTATTTGGTACCTACAAAGAATTCGTCAAGAAACCATCAATAAATGATAAACAAACAAATTAAATATTATACATTATAGCTCACTCTAACAAACAAAAAAAAAAACATAATTTTGTTTTTAAATTTATTTGCTCTGAGGGAATATTTAGATTATCCAAAAATAAAAACTACTTAAATTCTAATTCTACAAGCTAAATGAATAAGAAAACACGTCATATCTTTTTCAATGCATCATTTTTTTTTATTATACTACTTCACTAGGGAGAAACAATGTACTTCAAATTCGAAAAGTAAATCAAAGTAGGGTGTGGATGTGAGAATGAGAATTAGAGCCCAACAGAGTTAAGTTTTTTAATTCGGAAGACTGACTTCGACTCCGAGAAACTCTGAAAATTTGTTGACTACTATTATCAGAAATTGACTTCAAAAATTTCTTCATAATCACTGCAACTCTGAACAAATTTCTTTTTTCGCGACTTCAGCTCCGTCAGAACCCGATTACAATATTCGATATTAACCTTTCGTGAGGGTCTTCCCTCACTAAACATCTACACTCCGTCAGATTCAGGACTGATCGGTTTGCCGATTCGGTTCGAAGTCTACATCCGACATTCACACCTAACAACATCATTGACAAAAAAACTAGGCAGTGAGTATTTCTCTCTTCCATTTTTTAACTGATTTTAACTCATACATGATCTTCTTTTTTTTGTCTTTCTTTTAAGTAAATCATTGAAAGGCCAGTGTAATACTATAAATTGAATTGTTTGTCTCTCGTATAGAATGGGTGTGTATGTTGTATTGTTAATTACTAACAATTAAAAGACCTATAACCTAACATCTAAGATGTACGCTTGTAGTGATATAGGAAAGCTTTAAAGTAGCTTCAATTCTCTCGAAGTACTTGAAAGTGGTGCAAAATAATGTCAAGTAGAAAAATACACGGTTATTCCCCGTAGTTTAGTTATTAGACAATAAGAATTGTTGATACAGTGCGATATCTATCGTCATTTTCAAATGGATTAATCTGTCGAACCAATCAGTCTGTTATTAAAAAAAAATAGTAAGTAATGCTATATAACTGGTATAGATTTTGATATTTCTGTATTGATTTGTTTGTCAAGATGTTTGCCTTCGTTGTTCGTCGGTTTGTTCCTGTTTTGTCTTCTCGTCTTACTAGTCCGCTGTTAGTTTCTCTCACTCATACTTCATCTCCTCTTGTTCGTCCTCTATCATTGACTCCAATCTATCACAATTTTCCAAATATGCAACAGATGATGGACGAGATTTCGAAAAATCCAAAAGCAATGGCATTTTTTCAAGCTATTAAAAAAGATCCGAAAATAATGCATGCTGTACAAGATTTAATGATGATAATGAGTAAAAAAGGTTATATCGACTTGAATAATCCAACAAAACAACCAAGTTAGTCAATATTTATATGTTCAGAATAATTTTTAATCACCATCCTACGTTTTTTTTCTATTAAAGATTTTGCTATGCTTGCTGATAGTGAAGTTCGTAATAAATTGCTTGAACTTGCAAGACTATTGGCTGCTGCTGGTGTGTTCAATGCTAAAGATGGTGCCAATCCTATGAATGCTTTCTCTAATGTCATGGGCCTTTTGATGCCTCCATCATTGAAAGATAATAAAGGTGATCGTCTAGATCAAATCAAACAGAATTCTTTACCGAAATGTGATTATACATATGATGCAACACGAAAAGAAAAAAACGTACAGACTAATGATACTACAGCACAAGGATGGGCCGATAAATTTAAAAAGATGTTCAAATAAACTTTGTATTTCTCTATTTCAAATAAAACCTGCATTATTTGTATAAAGATATTGATCGTTAGAGTGAACTTTACCTAACAGAATTATTAAAAGATTTCAAAAGTTTATTGATTTTAATCGAATTATTCAAAAATATTGATATATAGTGAGTATCAAACTATTCAACGAGGTTTATTTTCGATTTTTCCCTTGATATAAGAGCTAGAAAGAATACAAATAGTGATTTGATTAGAGAAAATTGATTTCAACAGGAATATATGGAAATAAAAACGATTATAAGATCTTCAAAGAGAAGGGCTTCAGAAAATCAAAATCGTATTGGTCAGCATTTAAAACGCGTAAATATGATTTTAAGTTGACTACATAGAACGATAGAACAAAGAACTCCGTACTAACAAAGACATCCTCGAGTTTTCTGCAACGTTTTTTAGCTCCGTTATAGCGATTTTAAGGCAGTCGCTAAGATCGTTTTTCACTATCAATCAAATCATTGTATCTCAGCCTAAAAATGTTGTAGAGAACTTGAAGACGTCTCATATTGTAGAGGATGGCTTATTCTATTGTTCTATGTAGTCCTCATCAAATTATTGCTCGCGTGCTCGAAGTGCTAAAAATTAGGGTTTTGCTTTTCTAGAGCTCT